TTGCCCAGGTGAGCAGTATAAATGTTCGGTAATATCTGACAATCCTCTCTTTTAGAAATGTCAGCCATTTAAATGAATTGCTTTCTGTGAGATCTGTTTTCACTTAAGGCTTATCAGAGGTGACGTCATGGAAAGTGCTAAGCAGGTGGAGATAGTGTTGGGACAATGACTTTTCAGTCAGTTCAAGTGGAAGAGCAGTGATTGGGTACTTCTATGGGCTCTGGGTCTGACATACGTTCAGGTGTCCCCGCCAGCACCAACAGCGTGGTGGCCACTGTGGGCAGCCTAGACATGGAGGTGTCTTTATATTTAGATTTGGAAGATATCTTGTGTGTGTTATTGTTTATGTTATATTGATACTGGCAAATATGTATGTTAAATAAAAACGACCAGATTTGAAATAATAAGATAATTTGGTTTCTCAGGCATCCCCTCACTAGAGTAATTGATGCTTTGATTTTCAGGTTTTATCCTTTTAATTAGAACAAATGCTCAGAGAAGCACTAATAACTAGAGGACAGAGCACTTTACAAATTGGTAAAAGGTGTAGGGCAGTGGTTCTCAACCTTCTGGCCCTTTAAATACAGTTCCTCATGTTGTGACCCCCAACCATAAAATTATTTTCGTTGCTACTTCATAACTGTAATGTTGCTGTTGTTATGAATCGTAATGTAAGTATCTGATATGCAGGATGGTCTTAGGCGACCCCTGTGAAAGGGTCGTTCGACCCCCAAAGGGGTCGCGACCCACAGGTTGAGAACCGCTGGTGTAGGGGGACATGAGTCGGAATGAATAATCTAAAGTTAAGGTAGACACTGGAATATTTACATGGGAACAATCACAGAAGAAAGGTAATCTATTCATTATGTTAAATATCATGCACAGCATTCTTGGTTCCTAATTATAAAAGCATGTAAGGAGTTTAAGGAGGGATAAGAAAATTACATCAAAAATCAGATTTACAAGGAAGTGTTAAAACAACAACAACCAGGGTAATGGCCAGGGTTGGGGGAGGAGGCTGTGGGGAGATACTGTTTGTGGACACAGAGTTTCAGTTTGGAAGGATGTCAGAGTTCTGGAGATGGATAGTGGTGATGGTTGCACAGCAATGTGAATGGACTTAATTCCAATGAACTGCACACTTAAAAATGGCTGAAGGTAGGGTTGGAGGGGGTTGGAGGAAGGTGGTCAATAAGTAAGTTCTAGAAATGTACAACATGACTGTAGCTAACACTGCTGCATGATATATAGGCAAATTGTTGAGATTGTAGATGCCAAGTTTTCTCATTACAAGAACATTTTTTTCTTTTATTTTTTATTGTATCTATAATGAGATGATGGATATTACGTAAACCTACTGTGGTAATCATTTCGCAGTATATGTACAGACCATCGTGCTGTACCCCTTAAGCAGTGATGTATGTCAATTATTTCTCTGTAAAACTGGAAGAATGCTTAATGGTAAATTTTATGTTTATTTTACCACAATTAAAACAAAACAAACAAACCTGGAACTACAGCCAGAAGGAGAAAAATTGCAAGGATTTAGGTTAGGGAGCAGAAGGAATTCTCCCGTAGTTCTGGACTTGATTATTAAGGGCAATTATAGAATCTCCGTGTCTGGATAATTAAAAAACAAAAACGACACATGGATTCTCTTCTGAGGATGAAGGCTTAAATTAATTCCTTTTTAAAATGAAGTTTAGAATGCTGACTTCTTCAAGGTTTTCTCTGGACACTCTATTCTGCATTGAATGATAGAGTCAGCATTTTCTGTTTGTTTTGGGCCATAAAATAAATGGTTTTATTGTCCATTTTCTTTTCTTTCCCTCCTTGCATCAGCTGGCATTTTCCAGGCCATGTGTCTCCTCATCTGTGCTGAGATGTACCAGGTGTCCAGACTGCAGCACATCTGTGAGCTGTTCATCATTACCCAGCTGCAAAGCATGCCCAGCAGGGAGCTGGCATCCATGAACCTCGATATAGTTGACCTGCTCAAGAAAGCCAAGGTAATTGGCCCTATGCATCTGCTTATTAGAATTTTTTAGAATCTTCTGAAGAGATATGTTAGTTCCTGTCCTAGTTTGGAAGTTTGGCTAAATGAGGCTGAAGTGCCCTCACAACAGTTTCTGTGGGCAGGTAATTTTGGAGATAGGTTTTCTGAGCAATCCCTTTCTAAGGAGATAGAATTTGCTGATGCCATTTAGTTGCCATTTTCAACTAAATGGTGGCCATTATTAGAGCCATTGAGTGTGGCGCAATATTGTGTCATATAGGCATTATAGGAAATAGAATTTACATTGAATTTCCCCCAAATGATCACATCTAATGATCATATCTTAGGGTTCCTGAAAGGAAAATGACAGGATTGGTCCCTGCAAACTGATAGGATGTTTAGGCTGAACTCATTTATCTGCTCATCCATTCATTCACTTTATGAACCTGTTTTGAAGTTTCAGTTGTTTGTAGGAAGTATAGGTGTACTTCATTAATCCTTTCAAACCTCCTTTTGTTGATATGTATCATGGTATAGGGAATATATTTAGTAAAAATGTTTGAATTGAGAACCACTGTGGTACACCTACTCCTCATAATTTCTTGCGTCTTCTAAGCTCAGGACCCTTTTGTTTTTAATAATTGTATTGCTGCACATTCTAGGGAACAGGTAGATTTTACACAGTCAACTTACTGTGACTAATTGTAGTTACACAGACCCTAGAAAATGAACCTGATAAAGGACCAGGCTAGGTCTATAAATAAACTAGGTCTGCTTTCTTGAACTCTGCTTCTAGAACTCTCACCTGTTGTCCCAGTCAGACATTTACCATCTCCTTATTCCCACTCTCTTTTAATATGTTGTTGGTTTTCTTTTATTGATATCAGCGAGGAAGGGGGAGAGAGAGATAGAAACATCAATGGTGGGAGAGAATTGTCGATCGGCTGCCTCCTGCACATCCCCCACTGGGGATGGAGCCCGAAACCTGGGCATGTGTTCTGACCGGGAATTGAACCATGACCTCAGTGTACAGGTTGACGCTCAACTACTGAGCCACACTGGCCAGGCTCCCACTCTCTCTCTTTTATCTCTGGGAGCAAGAAGTTTATGCAGATGGGTCCAGCCCTTAACTATTCTTCCATTTCACCCCCTCCCTGGGACAGTTTCAGGGCCCGCAGCAGTCATGCACACAGTGATGATTATTGACCTTGCAGTAAACTGAAACTTCTAGGTCTTTTTCACAGGAATATATTCAATCCATCATTACAGACTATCAAAACTTTGTGAAATATTATCTAGCATACAACGTATTGGCTATTCCTATCAACTTTGACATCCAGAATTAGAAAAATATGATGAATTTGTCTTCATCCAAGTAGCTGAAATAGAGCCACATAATGCGGAAAAGGACAGACTCTGAGACAGCTAAATGTGTGCTGAGGTGAATTCATTAATCAACATGTATTTCTAGGCATACAACGGAATTCATTCAAAGCATCCAGTTCTTCCTTACTCTATTTTGGAGTTCTTTTTTTTCATAATCAAGTCATAAGATCATACATACACAAATATAAAAAAATTGAGTAACCCTGATTGCTCTTCTTTGTAATATATTTACAGTGAGCGTGGGATAAATAGCTACCCTCTAGATTTAATTTTAAAATGCACTTTTATTCTGTCTAGTATTTTTACAATCTCAGTTCATTTTTGATGTATCATTTTCAGACTATTCTAACAAGTCTGTCATACTTTAAAAAACTGGATAGGAGCTCCTCTTTCCTTATCTTGTAGTATCCTTTCTTATTATTAATTTGAGAGAGAGAGAGAGAGACAGAGAGAGAGAGAGACAGAGAGAGAGAGAGACATCAATTTGTTGTTCCACTTATTTATGCATTCATGGGTTGATTTTTGTATGTGCCCTGACCAGGGATTGAATCTGCAACCTTGGCATATTGGGATGACGCTCTAACCACCTGAGCTACCTGGCCTGGGCCTCTTGTAATATCCTTTAAGTAGATAGTTTATACGTAAGAGAATTGCCAGTATGATTGCATTGATTTCCTTTAAGTGCCCCCTCCCCCACAAGTACACATACACAAACACACATACACACACCTCACCAGCATCATTTATGATTGCGTTGTCATAAATTCTTCCTGCCCTATTTTCCCCAACTGTGTGGTTTCTGATTATGTGATTATACTTATTTTTCTCTTGAATTTAAAAATTCTGAAATAATTCTTTTTAAATTTTACTGTTTGTTTCTGATGATTTTTCTATTTGCTAAGATTAAGCCTATGTTTATCAGTTTTCCTCTATTCTATTCCTGATGGTCCCTAGTTTGGAATTATGGGTTCCAGATAACAGGATAATTTTCTTCCTAAGTTCTCTTTGAAGTTTCTAGTTTGAGGTTCTCCTTTACTAGCCAGTCAGAATTTAGTTAACCTTTTCCTCATTGTTTCTCTGACTTCTAAAAGGTGAAATTGTTTTAGCAGATTTAGACTTCCAGTAGCTCTCTGAGTAATTGAAATTTCTAATCCTTTCATCATCTCTGCCAGCTGTGTACTGTGTGTCAGGAAAGCATCATTCATACCTTCAATATAGATTAGCAGTTTTGGTATTTTCTCATTTCCGCTTCCACTTGTCCCTAAACTCGCTCAATTCTTTACCTTGTTTCCACTTTTTAGGTCCATACATTTCCATCAGGTTGAACTCTTAACATATAACACAGGCTTCTTTCCCTTTATTGACCAGTTCCTTTGGATTGAGGTAGAAATTTCCTTATCTCTACTCCACTTTTAACCCTTTCTAGCCAAACTTTGTGATTCCTGTGAAGTCCTATTTACTCTCATATTAAAGTTTTAAACTCAACTTCTTTATAATCTGTGCATTAATATTTGGCTGCTTCGGGCCACCAGTTTCGTTTCTGACCTTTTCCTGGTGAGTTTCTAGGTATTTTTCTGCACCATTATTATTATTTACAGAGTTGTTAAATGCTATAGCATTTGGTTTACAGGTTGTTTTTTTAATGCCTATTCTTTTTTTATTCTTTTGTTTATTTAAGTTTAAACCTATTTTCTCAGTTCAGCATACATTTTTGCCCACAAGTAGTTTATAGGGTTCCATCTCTTGCCAAGAGCCCACACTTAAAATTTCAGTCAAAAATAAAATTCTGCATTTGAATTATGTTTTTGTAGACAGCTACTTATTTCTGTGATCTCCTTTCTCTTTCAAAGTCACAGCCATCAGCAGTATTCTGAACTCTGTTGGTAGGTTAGTTGCTCTGGTTAATCATCTAATAGTGTTGGTGGCTTCTGTTAAAATAGCTACATGTTCTTGCTCTATTCCCTTCAGATCATTCACATTCATCTGCTAAAATACAAGGTGAAAAAAAAGATTGTTAAAATCTGATGTGGGATTAGATGAACTATAAAGTTTCATACAACTCAAAAAGTCTGTTGTTTAATAAGAATCAGAGAGACCTATGAATTGAAATGTTAAAACACATTCCCACATTATAACTTTTTAAAAGAGCAATACTTGAGTTTCTTCCTTAAGATTTGAGATTACAAATCTTTCTTCAATTTAGTATTACTTATTTTTTACATATTTTTGATTGTCCTTAACAGAACTATATATAGCCTAAAAGTGGAAACAACCTAAATGCCCATCAACAAATGAAAGAATAAATGAAGTGTGGTATGTACATAACAATAGAGTATTACTCATCCTTCAAAAGAATGAAATTTTGGTAGGGGCGGCCAGGGGATTGTCAAGGGGGGGGGGGGGGGGAGGACTCATATGTAATACCCTTTGTAATACTTTTAGCAATAAAAAAAAAAAAGAAAGAAAGAATAAATAAATTAATTAATTAATTAAAAAAAAAAGAATGAAATTTTAATATATGCCGCAACATGGATGAACCTTGAGGACATTATGCTAAGTAAAATAAACCAGACAGAAAAAGGACAAGTACTGTGTAATTTAACTTATATGAGGTACCTGGAATAGTCAAATTCATAAAGGTAAAATAAAATGGTGATTACCAGGGACTGGGGCTAAGGGGAAAGGGGATTTATTATTTAATGGGTTTAGGATAAAAAATTCTGAAAATAGATAGTAGTGATGGTTGCACTTAAAAATGGTAAATTTTGTGTATAATTTACCATAATAATAATAATAAAAAGAACTACAACTACACTCATATATCCAAGTTTCCTGCCACCAAGTTACCACACTCTGAAGTGAGTGGTTAGATACATCAGTGAGTGTCACTGGATTGGCACCAGGTGATGATGTCATGGCCAAGTTGCTCAGAGTTCCCTCTCCATTAGCTATTGAAACAGAATGAGAAATATGCTGGGAATCCTGCTCAGTGTAACAGTACATCTGAGTTAAAAGCAACTATTCAAACATAACCTTCTCACAGAAATACTTACACATTGCTACCATAACCTTTGGTTGATGACACTTCCTCCTCTAAATAATTTTTAGTTTGCTCCTCAGATGAATTTCTTTAGATATGGCCAAGTGTATACCTTTGCTGGCTATAATCTTGCCCAGAAACAAGTGCAGTTAGTGAAGGCCATGGCCTTAGATTGAAAGCTTAAACTAAATCTTTGAGAACCTCAGATAGCCTTTGTGAACCACGGATGCAACCATACATCTGCTTAAAGATATTCAGCCACTGCAGCAGCAGTAACTTGTTACTTATTTGATTTGGTTTCTTCATTGATGTGATTTTATTATTATTTGTTATTAATGCTCCCTTTCCTTTCTGCTGTCAGGGTAGGCGGAAGGCTGCATCATATATACAGACACATTAAACATGGATTGGGGCTCTCCATGGGTTCTCCAGACCATTCTCTCTTATCTAATCATCGTATTGAAGGTCATTATTTACAATACTGTTTCACTTTCCATTTCTCTTGCAGTTTCACCACTCTGATTGCCTTTCAACCTGGCTACTTCATTTCATTGCCACTAACTACCTCATCTTCAGTCAAAAGCCTGAATTTCAGGATCTTTCAGGTAGATTGCAATTACTATGTTGAAAGAAAACTTTATGCTCTTTGTTCTTAGATGTGAAACGTAATTTATAGGAGTGGTAGTTTTTAAAAATTAAAAAATCAATGTAATACATTCCTTTTAAATATGCAGTGTGGTCATTGAGGACACTTTACGTAAGTAGCTTAACCTGTGTTACACAAGAAGTTTTCTAATGATTGTTTTATAGCTCCCGTCATTTTTAAATGCATTTTTTCCCTGAAGTGTGGTCATAAAGTGGCCTCTGTTGGCATTTGGTCTTGATAAACAAGATCTTGGTTTTAACCACCCAAGTCAGAAGCAAAATTTAAACAGTATTGACTGAAAAACGTTTTTTAATATAAGAACTGTATCTATTGTGTATTGTTTATAATATATTGTTCTATTGTACTAATACCCATATCTATTAAGTTTATCTATATAGGAGTTCACTGTGTTACCTGGGAGTAGTAATTTTTTATTGATCAAAGAATGTTGTGAAACTTAATGTGCAGAGAAAGTATGTGAAGTGTGATTTTTAAGATAAATTATAAAGATCAAAACCAAAGGTTGAGCTTCTCAGCGTTACATAAGAGGAAAGAAAATGAAAATAGACTAGTCATCAGAGTAGGTGATTACTTAGATACAGTGGTTTGCTCACGTTATTACCTAGAATAGACTCAAGGAATAATCAGGTTAAAAGGGAAAGGAAATTAAAGATCACCTAATCAAGTACTGTCAAACTCTAAACAGAGAACTCTCCTTGGAGATGCTTGAATTTCTTCTGAGGTGAGGTGGAGAGTGGGGAGTGAGAGAGGAAAGAGGAGGGAGCCAAGAGAAGTAGAGGGAAGACAAGGCTACATTTGTGCTTCTTGGATATTTTCCTCCCACCTTCAACCAGAGTAATTCCACTTTTATCTGCTCTATATCTTAGCCTTCTACATAAAAGTTTACTTGTATAAGAGAATCTGCGGCTAAAACAAAGTGAAAGTGCCTGGTTTCATTCAACTACTTGTACAGTTAAGTAAACCGAGAAATAGTCAGATTTAGGCAGATGCCTTGACAGACATTCATAGCCAGACAACAAACATTGAATGGCTAGTGGAAGCCTCTTTATGTAGAATTCAACTCTTAGTGCTGTAGAGTAACAAAATAAATCAAAGCAGCACAACATAAACCATCTACTTTGTGCAAGAAAGGAACAAAAAGTACATTCTGCTTGCTGTTAGTATAGACATTCTTATACAGTTATTTGTTCAGAAGTCAATTAAAATGAAATGAATGAACATTTTGATTTTAGAACTACCTTCATTATGCTACCTTAGGTCACCTTCACTTGTAAACAAAAATAAGGTTTATTTTCCACTTACTTCATTGTATAAATGCATGAGATACATGGAGAATGCTATTACAGCTTAGGAGAAAGATGCTCTGTAAATCCTTTGAGTTATTAATTTCTATTTTCTTTTATTACTTATACAATTACCTATAAAGGATATATGACCTCCTGGCATAGTGAAAAGCAGGGCCCGAGGGTGTAGTTTGAAAAGGCGGGGCAGGAAGGTGAGGCTGTGTCAGTGATTTTCTGTGTCCTTTGATGGGAAGGAAAGGGTGTCACAAGTGCTCTGGATCCCTGGTGCCTGCTTATGTCCGGGGCTGCCGTGACCCTCCTGTTGGGCAGGAAACCCCCTGTGGATAAGGGAGAATTTGATCATCTAAATAGATGGTCACAAACTGGTAGTCTGTTTGGACCACGTGGTTTCTTGTTTGTTTGTTTTAAATTGAGTGTCAACATTTAAAAATTGTAACACCTTACATTAAAAGAACTAAACTTTTGGCTTCTTTTGGAAAGTTGAAGATCTGGCTACTCTGGCCCATCTTCCCACACAACAACTGCCTGGAACGGAGCAGTGGCTGCCGCTTTAAAGGCCGTGTCTTCCCGAGTGTCACAGTCACCTCTCCTCCATATTGCCTTACACCTGGCCCACCTCACAGGGTCACTTCAAGTTCACAGGATTCTTATCACAATCACTTCAGAGCTTTCTTAAAGAATCGCCTATTTTAGTTTCAAAAATTATCAAATTATTACTGGAATTCTGCAAATGGTTTTTTTAACTGAGAATTTTTCTTATTTAGGGGTGTTTAGAAATTAAAAGGTGAGACTGGAAAAGATCACTTGTCAATTCTAGCACTAATGCATCAGAACTCAATGAAATAGCTCATTAAGTATTAGACATTTTATAGACTGGACTCATGAAAGCAAACAGCAGTGCATAGGAATATGTTACCATTGGCATTTATGGAGCCATTATTCTCACAGCTAGTTTAATTTAGCTGAATATTGTATTATGTATTTTACTAGAGGCCCAATGCACGAAATTCGTGCAAGAGTAGGCCTTCGCAGCCACAGCTGCCTTGATCCTCCCTCACAGCCACTCCTTCGCAGCCACAGGCAGCTGCCTGGATCCCTCCCTCGCAGCTGCAGCAGCTCCTACCACCGCCACTGCACTCACCAGCCATGAGCCTGTCTCAGGGCTTCTGGCTGAGCAGTGCTCCCCGGTGGGAGCGCACTGACCACCAGGGGGCAGCTCTTGCGTTGAGCATCTGCCCCCTAGTGGTCAGTGTGCATCATAATGACCGGTCTTTCTGCCGTTTGGTCGATTTGCATATTAGCCTTTTATTATATAGGATAACTGAGGATTAGCAGATATTTGAGGCAATGTCCAACCTGAAAGATAGATACGCAAACCAAGACACAATGAATAAAAACAAAAGAGAAGTAAATAGGAAAAACCTACAGTCTTTCTACCTGGGTGTTACTTTCCTGTGAGTCCTTATCCCCTGTGTCTCCTTTACTACTAACACAAAACACTTCACTTTTGACACTTCTGATCACCAAATGTGTGGGGTTTTATACCCCACACCAAGCAGTTCACATCACCAGCTATGACCTAGTGATAGTGAGAGTGCCAGATCCCACAGGTTTGGGGCTCAGTCCCACAAGACCATCCCCCACCCCACTTCAGACACTAGTCCAAGTCCAGTTTTTCTGAGCAACTGGTATAGATCAGAGGTTCCAGTGACGCCCTCTATGGGTTCAGTTAACTTGCTAGATTGGCTCACACAAGGCAGGGATGCACTTACTTAAGTTTACCAGTTTATTAAAGGATACAGATGAATACCTAGATGAAGAGATACATAGGGTGAGGTCTGGGGGGTGGAGGGGGGGGGCGGGTCCGGAGTGCAGGAGCTCATGTCCAGTGGAATTGGAGTATATCACTCTCCCAGCAAATGGATGTGTTCACCAACCTGGAAACTCCCTGAACCTTGTACTTTTGGGACTTTTATGGACACTTCATTTATGTAGGCATGATTGGTCATCAACTCCATTTTCAGTCCTTTTCCTTCTTAAGAGAATGGTGCGGATCAGGAAGGGGGGATGCTGAAAGTCCAAACTTCCTTTTTTTAATATATTTTTATTGATTTCAAAGAGGAAGGGAGAAAGAGAGAGAAACATCAATGATGAGAGAGAATCATTGATCCCCTACTGGGGGTCAGGCCCGCAACCCGGGCATTTGCCCTTGATTGGAATTGAACCCAGGACCTTTCAGTCCGCAGGCCGATGCTCTGTCCACTGAGCCAAATCAGCTAGGGCCAAACTTCTAATCATGTCTTTTCAATGACCAGCCCTCATCAGAAGCCCACCCAGAGTTGTCTAATTAGAATAAAAGACAATACTACCACCCAGGAAATTATAAGGGTTTCTGGAGCCTCTGTGTCAAGAACTGGAGATCAATGTATATTTTCTATTATCTCACAAGAAGGAACTTAGAGGAATAAAGAGACACAAGAGCATAAGGAGTAGAAGAAAACGAACAAAAACCTTTAAAATTAATATCCTCAAAGCATAAGAGATAGGCAGCCATAAAAAGCAGGGATAGAAGGTTACAGTTGTCAAGACAGAGAGTAGAATGGTGGTTTCCAGGGGCAGGGTGGGACAGGGATAGGGAGTTGTTGTTTAATGGGCACAGTTTCAGTTTTGCAAGATGAAGAGATCTGGAGCTTGGTTGCACGACAACATGGATGTATTTAGCACCACTTATCATACACCGTGCACTTAAAAATGGTCAAGACGGTTCATTTTCTTTTACGTGTATTTTACCACAATTTTCAAAAAAGCAATACAAGAATAGGAAATCATTTTTGGACATTACAAATATGATAGCAAAAAAAACCAAGTGACTAAAATAGTCAAAAGTAATGTTATCTCCCAGAAAGAAAAACAAAAAGACTGGAAAGAAAGGTTTAAAAAAAAAAAAAATGGAGGCTCAATCCAGGAAGTGAAATACCTGAATAATAGAAGTTAATACAGATAATAAAAAACAGTGGGGAAGAAATTATCAAGAAATAATACAAGGAGTTATCCCAGTAGTGAAGGCCTTGAGACAGCAGATTGAAAAGATCTGCTAAGTGCTGTCTCCAGCATTCTGAGCCAAGTTTTCAACCTAGAACTCTGTACCAAATCAAATTACGAATTGTGTGAAGAGGTGAAAGAGGTTTCATCACAAGCAAGGACTCAGAAATGCTTCTTATGTGCCTGCCCTTTTCAGAAGCTAAGAAAGGTTCTGCTTCACCAAAACTAGAGAATCAAGGGCAGGACCTGGCGTCAGGAGTGTATGGACCAGCACGAAAGCATGAAGCAGGCCTAGGAAGCAATAGGGTACAAGTTCGGGAGGAAAGGGTCTCCAGGGCAGCACCCCCAGCCCTGCAGGGATGGTGGGCTACCTGATAACTCTGGCTTGGTGGGAAATAGAATTGAGGGGACTTGAAAGCGTTTGGGAGGTTGTGTTAGTTACAAAGGAAAATGAAACAATTACATTAAAAAAAAAAAGTCCATTTTCATCTCCAGGAAAAAACAAGTCATATTAAAAAAAAAAAAAAGGAAAGAAAACATTATCAAATACTACTTGATGAATGGAAAGATGTATCCTGATGACTGATGTAACGAAAATTGTATTTAATGATTTTGAAAGGCTTAAGGGAAGAGTAGGGAGTATATAGAAGAGCTTGGATGTCATCCATTCAACAGAAACCCAATAATTCATACCTAAACTCGATCCCAAATAAAATATATTCTATTAACATTCTTCTTTCTAAAAATTTTAGTGGAAGAACGCAGTTTTGTTGAAAAGCACAGATGGCCATCGAATCTGTACTTGAAGCAGCTTGCAGAATACAGGAAGTACATTCACTCCCGGAAGTGTCGCTGCTTAGTCATGTAACTTGGCGCTTTTATGTACACACACTTTTAAAATTATTATCATTATGAAGAATGGGATACCTCTGGGTACCAGTAAAATTCTCGTGACCGAAACATGGGCGTTAAAATATATATATTGGTGTGGTGGGGGGGAAAGTCACCATACAGCTTTATGTGTTTACTAGCTCTCCTTGAAAAAACTATGATTGTGATCTTAAAAGGGAACAAAATATACCACAGGCTAAATCTAAGGCTTCACATAGTGTATAAAGCTGTTGTGCAGCTACTATTCCCTTTAAGATGACCCGTTGCTTTGGCGATATTAATACCTTTCCCAGTTAAGAAATGTTAAAATGTTTTAGAAATCATGTAGGATTAATACAGAAATTTCATCGTGTCTGATTAATGGCTTTGTTAAAATTAAGGGCATGTAAAGACCCAGTGTGACTATTTCTATAATGAAAAATCTAGGGGCCGACTGATCAGTCAGAGACTCTAGGAATCGAATTTTGCCTGACATTTTGAATGTGAAATGACACCTATTTTCACATCAGTGTTTGAACCATCATGAAAAAAAAATTCTGTTTTTTGTCTGAACAACCCAACTGAGCCACCTTGTCTCTTCTCTGGGATTCAGATTGGGCAGGAAACCTCAGGCAGGATGGTTGTCTGGCCAGGGCACAGTGTGGCCGTATAGGGTCAGAGCTTAGAAGGGCCCTTGCTTGGTTCCCTCTTGAAATTCATAACAATGTTTGAGGAAGGGCCCTGCATTTTCACTTCGTGCTGGGCCTCCAAAATTATGTCTGTCTTGTAGTGGGATATGTACTAGTTTTCTTGCTCAAACATCATTGTTCCTGAAAGCAGAAAAGAGGCACTGATATCGAGGGAAGAGAAGGAGGCTTTCTGGAGGGAAGAGGGCATGTGGGGGTTCTGGGAGCTTTGGGGAAATCTGTTCCTCCCAGGGCCTCTGTGCCACCTCCACTGGCGAGTGAGAAATGCGTTGTGTTGTGTTATCTTTAGGACACTCACAGTTGTGGCTCTGTCCCAGACGAACCAATACTTTCTTGATCATTCTGTAGGACCAGGGTATTGATAAAAGTGACTGACCAGCATGACTTTTATACGTATTTATGAAGATGCTCATAGAAAAACATGCTTTTTCGAGAATTGGCTATCGAAGGCTCAAGATGTTTTTGTTTTAGTGTATTTACTAAAATTAGGACGTCAGTGGCTTGAATTATTTGAATTCTTTTGAGGACCGCAAAGCTATTTGATGAGGAGTAGCGTGAGTTTTGTCCTTCAAGATTACCCAGTAAGTTAAAAGAAAGGATATAAATGAAATACTTGTTCCATGTAGAGAAAATGGTACTTGGATAGAGGACAGAATTCTAGTTTCTCTTGTGTTTCATGTCAACAGAAATAATTACACAAGCAGAGAGAGAGAGAAAACCAGATTACTGTGTTATTGTTGACATCATTTTCATCTGTAATACAATTCAGTATTGGATATATATATTTTTTAATTTTCAATTACTTTAGAATACATATAGTTTCCCAACTGTTCAAAGGTTTGATTAAACAATTTGATACTATAGTATTAGAATCACATACAGTTGTTTGTCAGAGAGGAAAAATAAAAATTCTCTACATATTTCTCCCAAGAAACCTGATTTTAACTGAACTGTGTTGATGAAGATTACTGGAATGCATTTTATGTCTTTTGAATTTTAATCACTTGAGCTAACCAACTATTGGCAAACCCCAGTGGGCATGCACGAGCATGGTAAAGAATAGGCACTGTAGTGGATTTCCAGAAATTCATTCACATTCAAGAACTTTTAAAATGAAGTAAGTGACAGCATTTTATTCTTCATAAGCATATTCTTACCCCTATATGAATTAGAGCACTTAAAATTCTAAATCAGTAACTTTTAATCTAGGAAATTGAAACATAAAAGTTCTAAAGCAAAATGTATTCTTGCAAATACCATTTAACATTTAAATGGACTACATAAGGTTTTAGGTTGTTCGACTGGAGCTGAGTGTGGAAGTTGATGCTGTGTTGGTGTTCAGCATGTAGTTTTTATTATAAAAGTTCTTTACCACCTGTGTGAGCGACTCAAACATGAAATGTCATGGCTCTTCAGAGCTGTTCAGAATAGTAATCAAATTAGTTTTTAAATCTAGATTAAAATCTTTGAATTCACTCAATTTAAAATAGCCAGA